CAGGAATGCATGGGGCAACTAGGAGGGGCACTGCTCATGGGTGTGCTGGGGAACAGATGCACCTGAAGGCGAGAAGAGCCCACGGTGTTACCTGGGGTCTGAGGCTCAAGCAGCGGCAGTTGCCTTGCGGTGCAGTCAAGACAAGGGCACAGGCTGCCAATAGTCCACTGCAGAAAGCGTTGGTGCCCAAGGGCCCTGCAGTCTACAAGCTGCCCTCGGAGAGGAACAGTCTCCATGCTCACTCCCCTGCTGACTATAAATAACCTGGCATGTGACAGGCGCTGCCTGCACTGGCAGCTGCTGTTGAAATCCCACTGCTCACAAACAGCCCTCCAAGCACAGGGCCCCGGGAAACACCCCCAAGGAACAGCCCAGTGCAGGGGGGTGGAGGGAAAGGATGAACACCATGGTGCTTACACAAATCATCACCAGGCCCAGCCAAAGAGCAGGAGAGCAGCAGACCTGGGGGCTCAGGCCAGCCAAGCAACACCATTTCTCACCCTCCCATCCCATGGCACAGCCAAGGGCTCCAGTACAGCCCCAGTCTGCAGTGATCAGTGTGCTAGAGCAGGACAGGGCACAGCCCACAGGAGTGCTCTGGCTTAACAGGATGGTGGCCACAGGAAGAGGAAAAGCCCTTCCTGCCGTGACAATAGGAGGCCAGGGAGCAGCGGATGCTCTCACACCCGTCTCCTGCCCATGGCCCCACACAGGCTGGGCCTCGGACACTGCTGCAGGGAAAAAAAGCCAGCACAGCAGGACTGCTGGAGGAGAGAGTGAGGCTCTGCTCATCTCTCCTGGTGGAGAAGACATCCTAAGCTGTGCTTGCACAGCCTTGCATGGCTTGTAAACGGCTATGCCACACAGTAAGGGTGTTTGCTGCTGGAGGCAAGCATCTAACAGCCAGGCCATGCCAGGATCTGACAACCACCTGTTACAAGAGTGAAGGAGACGTTCCTGCTCTGAAAGGGACCACCCTGGACAAGCATGGGGAGGAAAGGTTGCTAGGAGCCCACCAGAGCTGACCTTGAGTCTGGGAGCCTCAGTCTCCAAGAGACAGAGACTGTTTTACCTTGCCCATGGGCCAGTGCTGTGTGTACTGGGCTAGCCCTGACAGAAGCCTTTGTCTCTGGTGGCCAGCCCCTCCCCTGGGCACAGCACTGTCAGCAAAGGTTGATCTTACACTACAAACTGCCCCCCCAGCCTCTCTCAGCCTTTGGGCACGCAGCTCTGATCTGGCTCTCCAGGATAAATACAGCTGCATGGACACCATCCCAATCCAGATCACCACCCTCCAGCACAGCTGCTGCTCACCCTCTGGGGACTAAATCAGGACAGATGCCAATTGCAGCACTCAGTGCTCAGTGCTCAACAGCAGCATTCATCTGCACGTCTCCCTTGTGACTGAAATATATGAATGCAATATATGTGTGTGCATGTGCATGCACCCCACCACAAAGCTCCCTGTTCTCTGCCCTCCCCATTAACAGTACTTATCCCTGCTCCACTCTCTCTGGGGAGCTTCCCTCCAGCACTGTGTGAACAAGGAGGGATAGGAACTCCCTTTGCATAGGGATGCAGTTCTGCATACATACCCATATGTTTTCACATCATCTTGCAGTTTCACCTCCACGCAGGGGAGCTCCTAGGCCAGCTCCATTCAGATTCCAAAGGGATATGTTTGGGAATGCTGCCTT